CGTAATTTGCCCGCAAAATTGGGAGTGGATTTTGTTTTACGGGGGGTGGGGCGCAGAAGGAAGGTTGGATAGATGATCGGTAACCTTGAGTAGGGAAGGTCCCGCACGCGCCGCTTCCAACGTGTCCCGTTCTTGACCCAATTCCGTGTCTCCGGGTGCCGACCTAGTCGACCCAGCGCCGCGACGCCCGCCATCCGCAGCCAGGGTTGAGCCTCATCCTCCTCCTCGATTTCCAAATACACTCTGTCTCTACTTTTCTCACAACCGCCCCTTCAATTTGGAGACGCGCGTGCATCCGCCGACCACCCTTCAGCCTGTTGATGCCTCATCTCATCTGCTCCTCCTCGCAGACTACTGCAACATTTATTAACAGCAGCGAGAGAGAACCTCTATTTTTAGTCGAGTTGCGAAATAGATCAAATTCACAATCCAAATTAAATAAAACAACGGATCCGATAACAATATCCGAAGCTGTTGTTTTTGCAATCGGTATCAGTTTCTTCTTTAAGCTCACTTCAAGAAAAATCAATTTTCCATCAACTTATACAATTTTATCTACTTCAAAAACCTAAAGTTTTTAAGAAAAGACAATGAACATAACCGAATTACTGATTTCTTTTTCTATTAATTACACTTAAATTACTTAAATTAAACAAGAAATTAAATATAACTATATTTTTTTGCAAATAATTTTAACTAATATAATTTTATATAGTGTTATATTAATTAATACTTGATACTTTTACATTTTTAATACAGATTTTCTCAATATTTTTAATTGAATCAATATACTTTTATTTCTAAGTTTCATATTTCCTCCAAAATTATGTTTTTTTTAACTATAATATTCAGGAAATTTTGATTTTATCTCTATATTATGTAACTTGTATTACTTTTAGAAGACGCTGAAAGCGGATGCAATTAAGAAAATAATGAAAAGTGCTGATTACGGCGCAAGGGTTTGGTTCATAATGGAAATAATCTGACGTTCGAGCACTTAATTTAACGCTTTAACTAATGATGTAAGATTATCAAGATGACCTTCGTATTTTCATTTTGCTCCCAACTACCCTCTTTCTCTCCACATAATATACGAAATTGGCATTATTTGGAGATACTGAGATACGTTCGGAGATTCTTTTTCTTCGCTCCAAACCTACTTTCCTCGAATATCTCGACAGACGATGACCCCATTTCAGCAACCATCCTATCGACAATCCTTCACTTCACCCGTTATCCTAATTAAAAATCAATAAGAAATATTAATAATTGTTGATTGTGGTGCCATCAATCATTGATATGATTCATTGTTGGTGAAAATAAATGGTGGAACGACAAATCATTGATATATGAAGTTTCATGTGTGTGCGTTTCCAGTGACATTGGAAATACCTGCATGTAATTAAGATAACGACGACGAAAACCGTTTACATACGAAAATACCGCTAGAATTAAGACATTTCGTAACGAAATTAAGTATACGCAACGCAAAGCACACACAAGAACAACATGAAACAAAAAAAAAGGACAGGAATGAAAAGGAATTAAGGAAGTGGTGACCACTTTTTTTGTATTGTTGTTGTTGTTGTTAGATGTGCTCGCTCTTCCTGCGTTATTATTGTTGTTGTTCTGCTCTTGCGCAAGGTGTTGTTGCGCTTCATCGCCACCACCTCTACGAACGCGCGATATTTTCCTACTTGAAACGTTATTTGCACACAAAAGAACAATGCTCCATCCAGGCTTCTTGGGCAAAAGGAGGTGGATCTGTCCGGTAGTCGTAAATCTCGAACGATCGGTGAAACATCGGTGATTGCCACGAATCTTCCTACCAAAACGATCCTAAACAGCGTGTATGTAGTGCATGGTTTTCGAATCGGATTAGTTTCTTGGATATTAGTTAACGGCCAAAATGTCGTCGTCGGCGTCGCGACGCCATGACCCTAATCCTAACGGCGGGTCGGTTTAAAAAGACCAGTCGTTGCTATGCGCGCAAAGTTCGGAGGGTCTTCGTAACCTTCATGGGATTAACGTGTCTCGTCGCAGGTAATTCGCATCCCCTTTTGCATTCTATCAATCAATTCCCTGATTTCTGATTTTCATTCGCGTTTTGCAATTGAACAGTTTTTCAATGTCTGTCTATCATAACGGAAACCCAAAGCTAGTTTAATAACTGGTGTTGGGGACAAGAGGGAAGTTTTAACCGAACTAGTTATCTGTTAGTCTGGGGAATATCACGACTAACCGCCGAAGGATTTCATCCTTAAGCCGTTTCCCATCTTTATTTGGGTGGGCATTTGCGGTGTCGAATGTCTGGATGCGTCTGGTTTGCCTTTCCTCTGCTCTTGCTCATTCACATCATTTCAACGAATTTAAACTTAGATCTTTTACATACATAGATATCATGCTTTATAGAAAGACAAAATGATACAAAATAATTTTATTTATTCAGAAATACCTCGTATTTAAAATTACATAAAAAATCATTTTCTGTACTATTTTCTTGAATGATACAATTATATGCTTTACATAACTTTTGTTTGTCAAGTGTTTATTATAATAGTAAGTTGTTATTTAATAAAATAGATGTGTTTATGTAAGTTAAATCGTATTTTTTTTTATTTGAAATCAATTGAGTATTGAGCTTTAGTATATTGAAGTTGAATTGCAAAAATTTTTATTCTTATTCAAATCTTGGATGAATTATAAAGGTACTGCATTAATAGTTCATTTAGTATTGAATAGGACGTTTTGTGATTATAATGTATCCAATTATGATTAAAGCTGAACAGTCGTGAACCTATGAAAGAACTGAATTGTATTGTATTAATTGTATTATTCAAATCTGGGTAGATTTTTAAAATTATTTTAATATATCAATTAGAATTGAAGTGTGTATTCGTTTAATACTGAATTGCATTATGATTGGAGTACGTTCCAGATCTTCAATTTAACAAATCGTTATCATTGTGTATGTGTTTCGGCAATGAAAAGATCGTTTGTATCGTTAATTGCATGCCTGCATAATCGAACAGAAGTTAACATAATTATCGAATCAATCTGTGCAGAGATCATTGACAAGAGAAGTGAGTTTGCCTTTTCTCTGCTCTTGCTTATTCACATCATTTCAACGAATTTAAACTTAGATCTTTTGTAGAAAGAAGTTAAAATAGTTTATTGAAATATATTTGCCAATGTTTTATTGAATAGTCTTACACAAAATGATTTTATTTATTCAGAAATACCTCTAATTTAAAATTACATAAAAAATCATTTTTGTGTACTATTTTCTTGTATGATATCTAAGATGCACAATATGCATTACATAACTTTTGTTTGTCAAGTGTTTATTATAATAGTAAGTTGTTATTTAATAAAATTGATGTGTTTATGTAAGTTAAATCGTATTTTTTTTTAAATGAAATCAATTGAGTTGTAATAAATGATACAAATAGCTTTAGTATATTGAAGTTGAATTGCAAAATTTTTTATTCTTATTCAAATCTTGGATGAATTATAAAGGTACTGCATTAATAGTTCAATTAGTATTGAATAGGACGTTTTATGATTATAATGTATCCAATTATGATTAAAGCTGAACAGTCGTAAACCTATGAAAGAAATGAATTGTATTGTATTAATTGTATTATTCAAATCTGGGTAGATTTTTAAAATTATTTTAATAGATCAATTAGAATTAAAGTGTATTCGTTTAATACTGAATTGCATTATGATTGGAGTACGTTCCAGATCTTCGATTTAACAAATCGTTATCATTGTGTATGCGTTACGGCGATGAAACGATAGTTAATTGCATGCCTGCATAATCGAACAGAAGTTAACATAATTATCTGTGCAGAGATCATTGACAAGAGAAGTGAGCGAGTGAGTGAGCGAATTGTTCCGTTAACTCGTCTTCGCGATCTCCCCGAATCCATCCCATTAATTGGCGAAAGGCCGTAACAGTTCTATTAATAATCCGAATGTGTTTTTATCATTGCAGATGAGTGTGGGCAGAGTGGCGGTGATCCAGACAGCGACGAAGACGTCATCATAGACTACCATCTGGCCGAGATGCTGCCACGGCCAGGACCGCTGCCCACCATCAGCGTGACCCCACATTCGCCGGCGAACAAGACTTATCCGGTTCTTGAGGACACCCTCCACCAGCTCAGGGAGCTCCACGAAACAGTCGAGCGTATGATCGATGTCACCGGAAGACGTAAGTGGATACCTAACATTAAAACACACCACCATCATCATCAAATGAGGAAGGAAAAACGAAACCGATGCAACTACTTTATTATTTTTTTTAATTACGGATCATTCCGTGTGTTTATTCCGGCGGAAACGGGCCGTTCTTTTTGTTTCGTTCCTCTTGTTTCAGTTGGACGATCGGAAATGTTAAATTGCCGTTTAATTTTTATTACGAAACGCGTTTAATCGGTCGCTTTATCTTCGTAATTAGTTGTTAGTTAGTTTTTGCCGTTGATTCACGTCGGTTGCTCTTCTACCTACACCTGCGATAAACTAATGTAAACTTACATGATTTTTGTCATAATCGTTATTTATTTCTATATTTATTAGCACGATGTTTGAATTGCAACGAAACATTACCTAATCAAATCATTTTCTTTTTATAAGAAAATTACATACTTTATTTTAGAAATTTTGATTTGATAACCAAAGGACTAAATAATAATATAATAATCAAATAGTAATCTTGTAAACAAATATAGATTATTTTTTTTGTTTAATTCTGCATTAATGGATTCGTTAAGTTTTTATAAAAAACATTGCTTTAACTCGATTTTCACCGTTTCTTTACACATTTTTATAATCCTTGAATTACAACGTTCATAAACACAATTAAAAGACTTTATAAATGTGTAAATGATAATTTGGGACAGAGTAGTAATTTAATAGATATCTAAATTACATTTTGCAACTCAACAATGACAATGAAATTAATTGCATTGTATTATAAAATCAATAGTACAAATAGCATTATTAATAAGTTTAGCATTCAAACATTATTCCAAATCAACGCGCTCAACAGTTAACAGAAACTTGAATGCATTTTCAATAATATAATAATAACAACGTTTATAATACAATCATATAAATATTAAACTTAAATCACATTTTGGAATATTAGTCAAAAAGTTGTTTGTTTGGGCTTTTTCTCTCTCTTTCATTTTATAAAGTTTTTAAATTTAACACTGATCTCTTAATAATAACACTTCTTCATAAATCAGGATAATTTTCAATAAAAAAAAAAACATATTCAACGTCAGAGTTAAGAATCTTTAATTTCGTCTTCATTTTTCATTCTTCCAATGAAAAACCATCTCATCTGGATTCAATACATTTCTAATATCCTCTTGATCGATGTTATTTCATTCTAGCATATTTTTGTGACTTTCTTTCCAAGAACTATCAACGTTTTCACTTTTGTACTTTAGGAAAAACATAATTGTCATTTTCTCTTTATCATCTAGTTTTTTTTTTGTAATAAAATTATTTAATAGAGCTATTACTCCCTGATCTAATGATCGAATCAGGGAAGTTGTGTTTTCTGGAAGAATTCATGTGTTAACATGGGAGTATTGTTTTATAACAAAAAGAGCTCTTTTCATTGAACGGTTTTGTATTTACTTCATGTAGTTAATGTTGATTGAGGATTAAAATTGCGGAATTCTTTATACCAAAACTTTGTTCTAAGAGATAACTTTAACAGATTGTAACTACATAGATAGGTTTTTCAGGTCGTCTAAATCTAAGTTTATATATCGACATTTAAAGAAGAAAGAACTGTAAATACAAATAAGGTTCAAATTATATCAATTTTAATTATAGTTGATTTCTTTTTTCTATAAGAAAATTAAAATATGTATTTACATTAATGATTATTTCTTAATGATAATTTATTGCAGTCTTTCCTAAAATTAAAAATCAATTTTCTTTTATTGCTAATTGTTACTGAAATATTGAAATGAAAATTAGCTTCATCTTTCCATTACGAAAATATTTTGTTACATATTTTGGAATGTGCAAATTATATAATTTTAAAATTAAAGATATTAATTTTCAATTTATATGCTGATTCTATTAAACTAAAAATTCAATGTAAATAAGGCGAAAAGGCCAAAATTAGTAAATAATATAATGGAAAATTATATTTTAACATTATAATTGTTGTTGTTGATGTAGTAAATGTAAGTTTTACAAATCATGTAATTATTCTAATATTTGGTAAACATATTGATTTGTTGTTTCGCGTAAGAAAAGTTAATTATGTTAATTGTATTAATTAATGGTTTTCATTCATCTAACTCAGACCAAAACTTTTTATGTCCAAAAGACCAAAAGACTAAAATATTACCTTTTTTAATTGGAGCCAAGTTAAAGGTTGTGCTGGACAAAGTTAGAAGATGAAATGATAAAAATGTAGTTGTATTAAGAGATCATTCTGTTTCTGTTTTTTTTTTTGTGTTGAGTAGTTCGTCTAATGCCTTTTGCTCCAAGTGACGTAACGGCAATTGTGTGTTGTCCCTATTCTAGGAATAAAAAATCCGAATATTATTCTAGAGCCGCTGCTAATTCACACGCGACTGAGCGCAAGTTGTCCGACGTTGAACGAATCCGTGCCAGAACTGGAAACGCTCGGGGGTTCTTTAGGTTCGTCACCTCTGCATCAGCCGCACAGCAGAAAGGGAAGCGGTAAGTACAAAACTACAACTACTATAATTGAAGTTGAAGCTCCAAAAGAAACGAGAAATCTCATCATCATCATCATCACCTTTAGACGTTACCCTCATTTATTATTTCGCTTTACGATTCTGAAAATAAACCCGAAAATTCAATTATATTATTTGCAATGGAAAAGCTGAATTGTTTAATGTTTTACGCGCGGCTCGTCTTTCGCTCTTTCACCGAATAACTTTGAAATAAAACGGAGATAAAACTTCTTTTTTTTTTACGTGTGAGCGCGTTTTAATTCGAGTGTTCTTGGAAGCATCCGAACGAAACACAAATATTATTGTAACCAGTCTGAAAAGGTGAAGCTGCAGAGGGAAATTGCAGTGAATGATGATGTTCTTGAAAATCTGGATTGTGATTTGCGAATTTTCGTTTCTATTTTTTTGTTGATTAGGTACGCAAGATTGGTTATGTCAACCGGAAGCGCAGAGGAGGAGATCATGGACGGCGCTGGAGGATTTGAGTGGAACCAAGGAGAAGACGAAACACGGGAGGCAAAGAAGGTTTGTAAATTTGTATTTTATTTTTTAACGTGGATCTTATTGAAATTGTTGTTGTTGTTGTTGCAGCATGTCTTTGAGCAGTATGGAATCGGATCCAGATGAATCTTCCATTATAGATAACGTGGATGGCGTGGCGAAGAGACTTCTGGGAGCTTCGGATCCTTCGGCGGTTTCTGTTAGTCGGAGAGGCACTAGGACAGGTGGTGGTGCAAGTACTCATTCCTTGAACGAAGCCGATCTTCAGGTAATTACAAAAAAAAATCCTTTCGCGTTCATCATTTAGATCAGAGGTTCCCAAAGTTTTTTTGTGTCGTAGACCCTTTGCCATGTTTCTTTCGGTTTTGTTATAATTATTAAGATTTTTGCTCTGAGACTGCGCGTATGCTTGTAACAAGATGATACTGGTACAGTCAACCCTCCTATAACGCGGTACTCTTACAGTGCGGTTTTCGTTCAACAGCATCCCGTCAACGCTTAATTCTTGTTGGAAACCTCTTTTACCTCAAATGGTTCAAGCAATACAAGATGATTCTACAATTTCACTCCCAGTTACAGAAATAGTAAACGTTGCTTCTCGTTTAAGCGATGAAGAATTTGCAGTAAACCATCAGGATGTAAAAGAACTAGTACTCGTGGAAGAAACTTTAGATGAGGAAGAACTGATGGAATCAATTGATGCATCCATCTCAAATGGATTGGTTAAACGAAAATAAGGAAAACGAATGGGTGCAAAATCTCGATTTACAAGATGTGAAAAAAGGGCTAAATTTGGCTAAAGAATTAGAACTTCATTTCATTCAAATTGATCATTCAACGGTGCGCAGCGCAAAGTTTAAAAGAGAGTTAAGAAATTGCTTAGCTTCCTCCTATAGAGAGGTTTTAGTGGAGTTAGAAAGAAAAGCTACAATCGAAAACCAATGTGAAGTTGAACTAAGTGATGAAGACATTTTGTCCATTAAAAGAAGACGAGTTAGGCGACTCATATCTGACAGCGAGGATGAGTGTTGAAAGATTACATAATTTTACAAAAGTCTTCATTGTTTTTGTTGAAAAACAGTCTTTTAGTTTAGTTCTTGTTTCATTTTTTTTAATCAATTCTTAAATAATTTATAATTTATCTTGTCTTTTGTATTTATTGGTCTCCATATAACGCGTTACGAATGATGTAATTTGTACTAATTCCGAGTTTCGTATAGCGCGGTTTCCATATAACGCGGTACGCACTCACCGCGTTATAAAAGGGTTGACTGTATATCATTATGTACAGGTTACACAATTTTATAAACATATATAAAAATTTTTTTTACTTCATAGGTATTTTTATAAATAATGTATGTCTTTATAGTATAATCTGACGTAGACCCCTTGCAGGTTGTCATAGACCACTTTGGGAATCACTGATTTAGATGATTTACTTTAACCCTTTCACACTTAAATTTTTAATATTCAAAATATTTTTTTCTCATAAAACATTGTATGATACTCTACCATCCAGTTTAAGCTAGTTTCCTCCAATAGGTATAGAAACAAGGAAGTCGTGGTAAATGCCAACCATCAGGCCTAACATAAAAATAATTCTTAAAAATTCTTAACATATTTTTATTAATTATATTGAAAATTGTTTTTTTTTAAAACAGTTCTTAAATTTAGATATGCAAAAATATGCATTTTTTTTTGCGAACGCCCTCCACAGTTTTCAAGTTTACAACGTTGTTCATGGCCACCTAACCTGTATTGGCCAATTACCAAGATTATCATATCTGATGTCATTCACAGTGAACTGTGTATAGTTTTTGTCGTTTATCATCTTTATTTATTTTTGCTGCTGCTCGTCAATTTCATGTAAATTTTTCTCTTCGTCTTCTACATCCGAATCAGGTAGTGCTGATATAACAATCTATGTATCTCGCAAGTTTATTTTCTTTAAATTTACGAAAAGATTCAAATATGGTAGAAATTAGTAACGAAATATCTTTGTAATTTTTTTTTTGTCGAGACTACAACTAGTGTTTTTGTTTGTTTATAAACTATCTTCTATTACAGACGATTTAAATATTGTAGAATTTATTCAAATTTGCAAAAAAAAATCAACAATTTGATTTTGTGTGAATTTTTTTGTTAATAATTATTATATGAAATGAAATGTTATATAATTTTGTTAACTACTTTTTTCGTTCTACTTGAAACCAATCATTTTTTTATGAAATAAATTAGTTAAAAGTAATTTTCATATAAAAGACAATAAATTCTCTAAATATGTGTGAATCTGGATATGAAAACAATGAACATCTTAGATTTACATTCTACTTGTTCAAAGCTTTAAGTGTTAACGTGAATACTAAAACGTTACTGTTTTATACAGAATGATTTCAATAAAATCAAAGCAAAACGCGAGGCGGAACAGCTGAGATTACCGGCGAGGCTTCCTCTGCAGAAATCCGTATCGACACCTTCCATCATCGCCGTTCGAGATTTAGTTCCTGAGCCAGCCCTAGTCGGAGCCCAACCGACTCTGCCGATGTAAGTATTTTAAACATACATTTTGCATTTTTTCATATATAAAATTTCTATTTATATATGCATACATACGCATTTTTTTACCATAGCACCAGTTCAATTATGTTTCTGCTTATAATACAGAATTTCATTTAAAAATTACAATTTTATGTGATTTGTTCAATGTTTATTACTTCAGTTTAAAAAAAAAATGGGCTATGTGTCTTTTGTTGTTGTTATTGTGCATGCTTATTGTGATAAAATTGTAAAGAAATTTGATTAATTTTTTTTAAATTAAAAGTGAAAATTAATTGAATCTTTATGGGAGAGAATGTGATTCTCACGAATTACTTTCCATGACGGTCAATAGTTTCTCTGTTAAAACGTTCCATACCGTGAATCCGTTCAAATTACTTGAGCACTTGTCTCGTATTCAAATTAGCTGTAAATTCGTCGATAATTTTGATGTCCGAGACAATGAAATTTCGGACGTGAAAAAGCATTCCGTTTCGGACATTTTTCAAAGCACTTGCGTAATGCCAAAAATGCGTCCAATTGAATGCTTTTTGTCTCTCCTTCTTTTGTATTGTTTTGTTGTTGTTGTTGTTGTTATTTTTTTGAGTCTTGTTGTATTGCGGTGTAGTGCATGTGCTTTAGCTTGGTGTGTAGGGGCAGACCGAGCGGAACGGAGAGCGAGACCGAGGAGGAAGTTTGTCGTTCCACACGTGCCCATTACGACCCTCATCACATCTCCCATCTGCACCAGTAAGTAACCAGCCTTATAAAGAACAGAGTGTAATGAGAATAGAAGAGAAAAAAAAAAGTGAGAAAGAACAAGCCTTAATTAGGAACTATTACTACTACTACTACTGGTTGAAGAACAACGTCAGCATGCTCTTACTTTCAGCTTTCCATTATATTATCATATACATACATGAACTAATGATTACGTAAAAATACACACTCTTCCAGACTACTACTTCTGCTACTTACTTCTGTATTAGAGATGCTCTACTTCTCTTAGAGGAGAATGCGAAAAGCGCTAAAGTTTCCTTGTTTTTCAGCGTCGCCTACGATCCGCAGCTGGAGAAGAGGAGGAAGCGCGGAAGTCTGTTCTTCAGGAAGAAAAAGGTACGTAGACGTTTCCCAACCGGATGCGCCCATTAACACGTGATCTCTCCGCTGTTCCAGGATAAAAGCAAGAAAATCACCCATCAATGGGTCTCGGCTAGTTACGGTTCCACCCACAATTGCGACTTCTGCGGTAAACTATTAAGCAATAAACCAGCCTTGTACTGCGAGAGTGAGTAACTTTATTTGAACATCGTTTATAACAATTATATCCCATTATTTGCACGACCTTTATTTATTTATTATTCTGCTAATTGCTTTCCAAATTCGTTTCGCAGACTGTTTGACGACGGTGCACCAGAATTCCTGTAAAGATAACATTTTGGAATGCACGAAACCGAAAGGATCTAAGGTAAAATCAATGATCTGTCCAAGATCTGCATTTCTTACAGTTTTTTTTTTCTTCTTAACTTTTAGAATTCCGGTAAAATTGGGGCTTTCGCAGTGTCGCAATTATCGAATTCGAAAAGTTCGTTGACGAAACGCGGATCCGGCTCGTTCAGCACGAGCAGCCAAAGCAGGTATTTAATGATTTCGGTGTTGTTGTTTTTATTTTATTTTTGGTTCCACTAAATCGTGTACCATACCATTTATTTATTTTCTTTTTTTGAAAATACGAAACCATTGGCAAGCATCGGGAGCGAAAGGAACGAACGGAGGCAACAGAAACGAATACGCGAATACCAAAAAAAAAATTTCCGTTTGATTATTCAATGTGTCGTAGTTTTGTGTTTCTTCAGTGCATGCGGTTTCTGTACGAACGGCGAAAGTCTCTATCTATCGTTGGTAAATTTGATCCATCTTCCGAACCCATCCAGCAGATACGAACAGTTTTTTTCTTTCTTTTCTTTTCTTTTTTTGGTATGAAGTAAAAGTTGACCACTGAAACTACCTCGCCCTCCACATGATTCTTGAATACATTTATAAAGAGTTATAATAGTATACATGAAAAATAATTCAAACATTTCAATAAGTTTAAATAACTCTTATATCAATCAAGAATGAAGTGAAGTTTTAAGTTCGCACTGAAAAACATGAAGCAATAACCCTGATTGGAGTTATTTACAAATTCTTCGATTTATATGTACATTTTTTTTTCTTCTAATTTGACGTTGTTTTTGTGCTAGAAGAGACTTTCCTCTATATCTACTGACTACATGTAACACTTGATATTTTGTTATGATATTTGTGTTAATTATAAATAGAATGGAATCCCTTTTAGCTTGTTTGCTTGTGGAATGCCTTTGTTCACTAGATATTAATTTCTTTATTTCTCGTATTATTATTATTAATGTTTTAGTTGTGTTTTCTCTTTGACCCTCTATCTTCTTCTTGGTGTTACGATCGCTGTATACCGTGAATGTCCAACTCTCGCAATGTCCCCAATATATTAATATCTCTTGTAAAAAAAATTAAAAAAAAATGTATTGAGTTGGGTTAAAATTTGGCCCTCGAGAAGGAGGAGTGAATCGAAACACTCCCATATTTCGTTTTTTTTTTTGTTTTTCGTTCTGTATTTGATTTTTAATTGGATAATAATTGGTGGTTAACTTTTGTTTGACAAACCCACCCCTTCGACATCCAACCCAACCAAAAAATTAATAGGAGGAGCCAGCTGTGCTACTCACCCTGGCGCAGGGTTGCCACCAAACTGGGAGTGAAGTAAGTCCCCACCCACAAAAAAAAAGCTATCGATCAACTCCTTTATTTAAACAATCTCAGCAAGACAAAATTTGTTTCAAAACAAATTCTACTGAAAACAAAAACAAAAAAAACTTTTTTATTATTATAATAATGATAATTAAAGAAAAGAGTAATCGAATTATATGATCTGTTTGATGTATTTCTACAACACCGACCTCTTCTCTTATCTTCACTCTTCGACATTATTATTATTTCTGTTTGATTTTACAATCGTTTAATTTCGTAGTATTCATATCGAAAGTTCTCATCCTCTGGATTATCTCTACATTTTTATTCTTCGTATATATATATATTCTCTTCTAAATTTTAAACACTATTCTTTTTTTGTTTTTTATTTTTTGTTCTTCGTTGGGGACAATTTTGGCTCTTCGATATGATTTTTGTTTATTTTCATTAATTTTGTTAATTCTAGAAACTAATTGGAAATTTATTAATTTCTATTTATATAAAATACATTTCAAATGATCTATGCAACTTAATTGTTTTAAAATTAACATTTTTCATACTTCTAATTGAACCCAAGATTTTATTTTTCTAATAGTCGATTTATCCATTTCCAAAGACAATTAATATTTCATTTCATGTTTACTTTATGTTACTTAATCTCACATATTCGTATACTTCCCAATATGTGTGCATTTTCGTTATATTTACTTAATTATTAGCTTTACTAAAAGCATTTTTTCTCCTCTCGCATGCCCTTTTTTAAAGCTTTTCCTCTTATTTATCTCTTTCTCTTTGTTTTTTCTTTCTTTTATTATATAAATAATCTCACCTACTCTACAGCTATTTTTCCTCTTGCTACTCACTACATTCTAACACTACGATCTTCTTTACGGATTTACACATATTTATTTGAACAATTTGTATTTTAGGAAACATTATTTTACATTAATCTTTTCACTCTCTTTGTTACGCCGCTTTCTATCTGGCAGAGCTACTCGTCTCTAATTATTTACTATTCCTTCTAATTATTCAACGTTCAGTTTGCGTTTCGAATAACGTGCGATTTTTCATTCCAGCCAAATATTGTGCGATGATACGGACCACAGCCACCACGACTCTGCTAGGTATTCTCGCTATTGTTTCGCAAAGTTTTTCCTGTTGTTTATCGGTCGGTTCATGTTTGTCGCAGCTGCAGCTTCGCCGAAGACGTGCCCTTTGTGCAGCTGGAGTTTCTATCGGACTCGCAGATCACGGCGTCCGATCTGTGCCCGGACACGAGTCTCGGTCTACACGAAGGAGAACCGGATTCGTGGACATCCTGCGTCGGGAAGGAAATCGCAAGGAAACTTAAAGAGAAGGAGGTGAAGAGGCAGGAGCATATTTATGAATTTATCCTGACAGAGAAACACCATTGCATCACGCTGCTGGTGATGCAGAAGGTAGAGGAATATCATTTGGGATACGTAATTTTTTGTTGTTTAATACTGTTTGATTTAGATCTTCGTGGATGGATTGCAGAAGTACTTTCATCTTGGTGCGAGATTGGAGCACATGTTTCCCAGGTTGGCCGATTTGATTGAACTTCATTTGGGGCTGTTGTCCAGGCTGAGGCTTAGGCAGCGAGAAGCCCCTATTGTGACGACAATCGCCGATATTCTGCTCGACGAGTTCTCCAATATTCGAGCGACGAAACTAAAGTCAGCTTATGGTATTATTTATTTTTTTAACTTTAACTTAATTGCAGTCACTAATTGGAGTTTTTTTGTTTTTGTAGGTGAATTCTGCAGCAGACATCGCGATGCCGTTGAGAGCTACAAATGTTACTTGCAAAGTGACGCTCGTTTCGGACAATTCGTCCGACATTGCCAGCAGAATCCGCTGTTAAAAAAGAAAGGAATCCCCGAATGCATACTGTTCGTAACGCAGAGGCTCACCAAGTATCCTTTACTGATCGAACCTCTGATCAAAACCAGCAAAGACAATCGCAAAGAGCAGGAGGCTCTTCAGAGAGCTTTAGCCTTGGTCAAGGAAATTCTCGTTGAGGTTGACGCCCAGGTGGCCGAAAAAGAGAAGGAGGATAGAAAACTTGAAATATACAATAAGATTGACGCCAAATCGTACACCATACATCGCGAGAATAAATTCAAAAAATCCGACATCCTTCAAGGGAATCGATCGTTACGATTCGAAGGCGTAGCCATGCTCATGCAGGGCCGTGGCAAAATGCAAATAGTTCTAGTCATCGTCCTCTCCGACGTCCTGTTCTTCCTGCAGGAGAACTCCAATAAATACACTTTCTTCACACCCGACAATAAAGTAAGATATATATATCCTCTTCCACTTGACACAGTCGTGTATTAATTAATATTTGAAATGTACAGGCCGGCGTGGTGAGCTTGCAAAAGCTGTTGGTCAGGGAGAAAGCGGGACAAGAATCGCGTGGAATTTACCTGATTTCATCAAATCCAGCCGATCCGGAGATGTTCGAGCTGAAGGTGCATAAACCCAAAGACAAGCAGGTCTGGATCCAAGCGATCAGGTAATTTTCAAATACTCAATTGTAATTACAATACTTTTAACTGTTTTATTCTTTTTTTTTATTAAGATCTGCTGTTCAAAATTGTCCTGAGGACGAAGAGGACAACGCCGCCATGAGTCAAGAAGAGAAGCAAACACTTTTAAATGCCAAACAAACTCAGATCAAGCATTTAGTTGGTATGTACTCGAATTTGAACATTGCTTAAATTATTTCATACAAAAATCAAAACCTTATAAGTAAGTTTAAGCAGTGAAATCAACGAAATTAACCATAAATTGCGTAGTTGTAGTTTAGTCAAGTCGTAAAAATCATGTAAAATATACGTAAACTGGATGGAAATAACTTGATTCTGATTGTATTATTTTGTATTTTACCAGACTCTGATATGGACATTGAAGGTAAAAATAACGAAAATTTTGCAGGATAATTAAAAAATATTTATTTTTTCTTTTGTTAAATCCAAAGAATAAACGCAGGAAAAACAAAGACTTTAGCGGCAGTGTGCTTCTTTTCGTTTTCGCTCCGCTTCCTCGTCTTAGCATTATTTTCCACAATTGTCATCAAGCTATAGGAAAATAAATTATACTCGATGTACATAAACCATAAACGATTTTCAAAGTTATTATGCAACTGGCTTTGTTGTGTGAGTCATATAGATCAGTTTCTTTCTATTTATAAAAATGATTATTTATATATATATTTCAGTTAATTTTGTATCCATTTGTACTTGATTTTTTTGTTTGTTTGCCTAATGCATGGTGCATATTATGTAAACGGCGCATTTTCGTTATTCTCCTTGTTTTGCTGGTGAATGTTGTTGAATTAAGTTGAACGAATCGGAGATTGTATGGAAATTTTCTTTGCTTCTTTCTTTACAGGTCTTCTGAGACAGAAGGACGTGGAACTGGCGCTACTTTTGGAGGAGAAAATGTCACTGCAGTTGCAGATGTTGGCGGCAGCCGGCTTGGAGCCTCCGTCTCCTCCAGGTTACAGTCATTTGGTCAATGAGAGCGCGAACACTGATCAGATGTGGAAGGAGGTGTTAACTGTAGTGAATGTAAGAGACGAAAGATATAATTTTTTTTTGGTGATTTTAAGTTTACGTGCTTTTTGTAGGAATGGAATCAACTCGTGGCTACTTCTTTGTTCGCAAACGGTACGAATTTGGCGAGAAGCGTTAGCTCGGCTGGAGAGCATCAGAGCAGCACCTACGTGTCTCCGATTCTTCCTAAGAGGGCGGAAACGTTCGGAGGTTACGATAACAGTAATCCAGGTCCTCTGAAGCTCTTTGGAAGAAAGCTTTACACCGGTATTACGCCGACAATGCTTGGGCCGGATCTCGAGAATTTGAAGTCCGGAGATTCCAGATTATTTGTGAGGAATTATTAAATTACATTCTCTTAATTTGTTTACATGAAAAAACTGAAATTTTAGGAGAAGCTTCCGTATAGAAATTGCGTTCTGACTGCTCCACCACCACCGATGACGAACGGAAATACGTTGACGACACCATGCGAACCAAATTTGGTTGTTAATCAGGAGCATGTCTTGGACAAGGAACAACAGTACGTTGCAGGACAATTGTCGCATTACGTTTACACCTTCTTCTCTGTGATATCGCAACTGATGACCACCAACGATTGCTTGCAAGCGCAGGTGGCGACGATGAAAGGTGGTGGCGGTGATAAACATTACAGACACGATCAGCAGCTGGAGGAGCTCAGGAATCTGCAGGATAAGTTGAACGCGGAGAAGGCGGCCTGGGCGGCGACCAAGGAACAGGAGATGAAAGACCAGGAGGAGAGAAAAGCCGAACTGTTGAAGTGGCAGGAGCAGGTGCGTGCAGAACAGTCGGACGTGAATCACCAAAGGGAGCAGCTGTACCGTAAGATGGAAATCCTCACGAATCAGGGATTGCTCATATCTCCGAACGTGGCGCTTCCCGTCACCGGACAGCTGGACGACAGCTCCGAGGAAAGCAGTCCTCAATCCGATAATTCTTCGGCGGTTAGCAGCGGTGCGGCGCATTCCACGTGCGAGCGCAAGAAAGATCCCAAATGGAATAAGAGTAGGTGTTTTATTTAAAGTGTTTTATGAGACTAATTCGTGTATCGAATATAATCAGGTCAGACGAAGTATCAGATCTCGATGAACCTGATCAGCAACATCAACCAAGCGAAAGCTCCTCAGGTCTCCGTCAAGCAGCTCATACCTTTGAAGCTTGCCTCTCGTTCGAGCTCGAAGAACGTGGGACAAGCAGTCGGACCTCAGCAGATGACGGCGCAGGCGAAGAGGAACAGCACCGGTTACCAGAGGCTAGGAAACGAGAACTTTAGTCCAACTTCAGGAGAAGCTGTAATTTAAATAAAACCTGACAAAGTCTTATAGAAATCTTAATCTATTTGCTCTCAGGCATCCGTAAAGCAGATGATCCCGATGAAGCTGTCGTCGCGCTCGAGCACCGGAAACGTCCAGCAAATGGCGCCTTCCGGTCCTCAGCAAATGCTTCCATTGAAGCTGAGCGAAGAGGAGAAGGTAAGGAGGACAAGCACCGGCTACCAACGGTTGAGGAGTGAGAGTTTCAGTCCACCTTCCGGTGAAACGGTGAGCTCTCATCTTTTTCCAAAAATCAATTGATCAACAATTCCGTTTCTAGACTCCAACCTCGATTCACAGCAGGACTGGTTCGAGTCCGGCGATGATGCAGGCGTCTCCTCCTCCGACATCATCCTGTCCGCCTATCCTTCAGCAGCCACCTTCAGCAGGATCGAAAGCATCGCGCACCAACACTTATCCGAAACTCCCGGATAAGTTCAAGGTGCGTACAGGGGATCAGGTGGCGCCCACCGATGAAGAAGTCATATACTTTTGACGCGACGTTCGCATCAAGTGAACTTGGCGAAAACTGTTTCACATTCGGCAGTCAAAATAATCACATATTTCTATAGCTAATGACGATAATAATAATAATAACTATGATTTCTCTCGTTGCCAAAAAAAAATAAAAAATAAGAAAAAAAAAAAAGTTAAAATATAACAAAGAATCTTTAGTAAAGAATGATGTTAATGATGTGTGTTGGAGGAAGGAAGAAATTTCAAACTGACTGATGATATAGCGTTTTTCTTTTTTCGATTCGACTGTCCGTCGTGTCCGTTGTTGACTTTACTTTAGTCCTTTGATAGTTTCTTACAACTCGCTTGTCTTGGGTCTTCCACAAGTGATTATTTATATTATATTATTATATTACGATCATTATTATTATTATTATACAAGAAGGACACTATACATATAATATATTAATATATAAACTATTTCCTGCCTTTCTTTAATGAGGAAAAGTACTCAATCTTAAGACAATACAATAAATAGTTGTTGTAGATGAAACTGGAGATGATATGACGATGAATGAAGAATACAATACAAAGAATATATATATTTACATTATTTTCTCTTGAGTATATACTTGAAATCAAAGATGATTATACAACTAAATATATATATATTTGATGATGATTAAATTAGTGCATTTAGAATTGGAATCGGGATAGAAGTTACAAGAATTATTAAATTTACACAGAAATGATGATTAACGAAACAAGAAAAAAAAAAATTAAAACATGTTATTTAGAGAGACAGAGAGTTGTTGACGTTTAGCTTTCTTTCCGAAAGACGAAAAACTTAAATATATATATAAATATAATAAACAGAATTAATTGTAATAATCTTTTACTTGTGTGGATTACGTGTGTATGTCTTCGCGGATCTGACGAGGATTAATTTATAATCTATATTTATTTTTATTAATTTATTTTATAAACGATTTATTATTATGTTGCATAGATGAAAGTTAATCAATTTTTTTGTTGTTTCAAATTCGTTTTTTTTTTTTATTTTGTTATCAGACATTGCGATTATTTACGTTATTAATTTGAAATTTCGTTGTGTAATTTATTCCATGAGATGGGATTGAAGACGATGGATGGAAGCAGCAGATGGAGAAGAAATGCGATCTTGCCTTGTACTTGTTAGAAAACACACGGATATGATATAAATATATTAATCTATCTCACAAAAAAAAATATAATGATATAATGTTACATACTTTGTAGATATTTGACAAACAAACAAAAAAAAAATAACTAAAATTATGAAAAAAAAAAATATGATGAGGATATACGTTTTAAATGTATAGGAATATTTCTTGAACCACTTTTATTTCTTGATATATTAACAAACAAACAAAAAAAAAAACTAAATTTCTCGCTTTCATTGATATAATTTACTCACGAATTACAAGTTCGAACGGACAACAACAAAAAAAAATGTAGTCTTGTTATATTAGATTTTAGTTATCAAGTTGGAACGATCTATTTTCTACAAAACGAGGCTTTTCGATGCGAAAATCGCATACTGAAAAAAAAACTGATACACATTTTAGATTTAATGATGATGATAATAACGTTTCCGTACTTATTTATACTATTTATTTTCTACTACTCAATATACAAATAATAATTCCTCCTTATTAATGATGTAACCCAATTAGAGTTTTCCTTCTGTACAAAACAAATTTGAAAATCGAAAATTGTTCCTCTATTATTTTCTCATTGTTTTCACTTTCATTGATTTTTTTTGTATACAAAACACATTCAATCAGAGATTTTCGAAAAGCTAAAGTTGATTTGATGATTACTTAATTAATTATTATTATTATTTCAAATTTCGTTTTCGTACAAAAGGAAAACTCTAGTATAAATCTATTTATATGAAAAGAAAAGGTTGTGTAATTTACTATTTTCGCTCCGTTTTGTTTCATTTTACTACTACTACATACTTTTTTTTTATATGATTATATATATATATATTTCTTATCTTAGTAATACGTGAATGTAAATAATTGCAGAAAAAAAAAGGAGATTTCAATTGCAGATTGATTATGAAAGAGAGAGAGATGTGCAGCCCGTATATTTATTGTAAATACATAATTATTACATGAACATTTTATTATTTTCTATTTCTCTTTTACGATTGTATTACATCTGAGCGTTGTATGCAACAGTTCTGTTTCATTAAAAATTCCTGAATCTATAATGTTGTTACATTTATTTTACCTTTTCTTTTGAAGCTTCGAAACGATATGTTACATCCAGAAATAATTTAATAATATTCTCGTTATGAACATTTTATTTAGATATGCCGAGTTTTGGTGGATACGACCGTTTTTATTTTAAAGGTAAATAAATATTTGTGTACTTTTTATAATTTTTACAATTTTTCAAATAAAAATGTTTTTAATATTGAAATATTTGTAGCAAATCAGTGGTTTCCAAAGTAGATGTTACTACGCCTCCCTCAAAATTATGTAATCATTTGGCGCCTCCAGACCCCCCTTCATTTCATAAAAGGAAAGCGTATTACAGCAAAATGGATAAGAGCACAGGAATGTATCTATACTTGCTGGATTCCCCAAACATTCAGCTTTCATAT